GTATAGGTTTCTCAGGAGATAGATAAGGTGGTCAGGCACTCCCATTTCTTTAAGGACTTGCCATAATTTGTTGTGGTCCACACAGTCAAAGGCTTTTGCATAGTCAATGAAGCAGAAGTAGGTGTTCTTCTGGAACTCTCTGGCTTTCTCCATAATCCAGCGCATGTTAGCAATTTGGTCTCTAGTTCCTCTGCCCTTCAAAATCTGGCTTGCACTTCTGGGAGTTCTCAGTCCACATACTGCTGAAGCCTACCATGGAGAATTTTGAGCATAACCTTGCTAGCGTGGGAAATGAGTGCAATTGTACGGTAGTTGGAGCATTCTTTGGCACTGCCCTTCTTTGGGATTGGTATGTAGACTGATATTTTCCAGTCCTCTGGCCACTGTTGAGTTTTCCAAACTTGCTGGCATATTGAATGTAGCACCTTAACAGCGTCATCTTTCAAGATTTTAAATACGTAGTTCCACTGCGATGCCATCACCTCCACTGGCCTTGTAGTTAGACAAGCTTTCAAAGGCCCACTTGACTTCACTCTCCAGGATGTCTGGCTCAAGGCCAGCAACCACACTATCTGGGTTGTCCGGGATATCCAAATATTTCTGGTATAGTTCCTCTGTGTGTTCTTGCCACCTCTTCTTGATGCCTATTTAAGTTAAGTAACCGCAATAAAGCCTTACCAGAAAAAAGTAGAAAAATGCCATCTATATTTTTTTCCTCTTCTCTGCCGTACAGCCATATTTTGAATTTTGCAGAGTAGAAAATTGTTACGCAATTTTATGGACGAAAAAAAATTGTTTGCCATCCACCCCACAGTCTCACATTCCCTTTCTTCTTAGAATATCATCTAATTGTTTATCTTATTGTTTATGACTTATTGTTTATAACTTATTGGCCAACATCCTATTGCAAATGGCACAGTTTTATAATTCTGTTCTCACCATGGCCGACCAGTTGCTTTTGGGAAGCCTGCCAGAAGGACACAAGTGCCACTGTACCAGCCCCATCATGTTCTCCCAGCATGCAATATGTTAGAATAGTCTGCCTTAGATACTAGAGGTAAAGCATGTAGTAGCCATCTTGACTGGTAGTCTCTGATAACCCTGGCCATCTCCATACATTTGCCCGGTACCCAAAGTCACAGTTATCTTCATGCTTCAGAATAACGAATTCTACTATTCGGTTATACACTGTGTGAAGTACTTCAATTTATCCCCCATTCCATTTCAATTTATCACTGTTGTTCTAGTAGTATGAGGGAGGGAGAAAAGGGCATTCTTTCTGCTTTCCCCACTCTATACATAATGTTACAAACCCCATTCATATTTCAATTTTTAAATATTCTTCAAATATCTTAATCTTTTGGAAGGATGCTAAATATAGCTCCCGTGAGGAGACAAATTTTAGCACAGGGCTCACAAAGTCTCTGGATAATTGAGGAACAGATAAGCTCCCCAAAACCTAATAGAGTGGAACCATACTTAGTCCCTGTGGTTTTCACAGGTTTGTTGGTTTGTAAGGTTTCTTGCCCTACAGAGGTGTCTTGAAAAAATTTTTAAACAGTGCACGTATCTGCTAATTTTAGATTGCCAAGTTGACAACTCAAGCATCATTTGTCTTCCTGTGTATCCCAGGTACCCTATCAACACATCACATGTTTTTTCTCTCTTCCTTGGGTGATGCAGTTTATTGCCATAGAGGAAACTTGTGAAATTTTAATCTATCCAGTTGAAATTCTCAACCCCCTCGGGTAATATCTTCCTGTTAACGTTGCCTTAGAGGAGAAAAACACATCAGCTTTGTCATCCCGTGTCTTTGATGTGAAAGGTCTTGTATGGAGAGGCTTTTAAATGTAGGTGGAAATAATTGGCATAAAGTAATAACAGTTGTGTATGCAATTCTCAACCAAAGCATCTTTTGTGAATGGGAAGTTTATTGTAGCTGTCAAGGAAGATGACTAAAGAAGCAAGTTCAGCTGTTGCTTTTTTGTCTATAGAATAAGGAACAAATCTTTTGCTCTTTGTAATAGAGTATAATCTTCTGAACTTAGCATTTATCTCCTTTCAGAAATGACTTCAAGCCCTGTCTGATTTTTAACTTTTTCAGGCATTGAATTTGTTGCTTCTGTTTCTGTTTAACATTCCATTAAAATATTTCTTCTGCTCCCATCTTACTTTTTTCCCCAAAGATGAGAAAAGAACATGTTCCTTGACTTCCCTAACCCTTGGGGGATGAGCTAATATTTGAGTGAACAAACTTGGATTGCTCCCAGTGTAAGGACATGCGAAGAACCATCCTAAATTAAGCCAAAGGCTACTGTAACTCAGCAACAGGGACCAACCAGATGCTTCTGGAAAGCCTATGAGTAATACATGCGTGCCACAACCCCTCTCACTGGTGCCTTCCAATTAGTAATAGACAGAAATAGTGCCTTGGTGCAGGATGAACTAGATTAAGCATCAATAGACATTGACAGTTCCATCTTCTATCTTTTTTTTCTTTTTTTTACTCAGCCTCTGGTTATTTAGTGTCAATAGATGACCCTAGGTTTGCATGCTGCAAGAAAGCAAAACTGTCAGCTGTCTCTATACCGGCACAGGGTGGTGCCAGCTGTCCAGCTCAAGGTGATGCCTGATAGCAACATCATTGAGACACATTCAACCTGATAGATTCAGTCAGAGCTTAGATTTGGTTGTCCAGTATTTATTTATTTATTTATTCATTCATTCATTCATTCATTCATTCATTCATTCATTCATTCATTCTATTTATATCCCATCTATCTGGTTGATATGGCCACTCTAGGCGGCTAAGTATTAATTACTTACTGATGAAGTTGGTGATCTGTAAAGGCAGTGGATATGCTGCCTTGAGGGTGATTCTGCATTTGCTCTGCCCCATGTCCTCTGTACTGGCCTACCCAGGCCTCTGTGCTTCTTGGTGTTTGGCATGCTGGGAGCTTGGAAGGGAGATTGCCCCGGCATGACATTCTTGTCCTGGCCTCCTGGCTCCAGAACCCTTAGCAAGTGCTCAGTTGTGCTGTGTTCTCAAGCATAGGAGCAGAGCTGCCTGAGCTGTTTCTCCTTACTGTGTCTCTCTCTAAAACACAGGCAAGTGCCATAGCTAGGATCCGCTGCAGTTTCAAAATAATCCCACAATATACTGTGTCGTGGGAGGGGGGGGATCTTCTACTTGGATCCTCTCAAAACTGTCGTCTTCATAGCATCAGTGGGCCAGCAGTAGCCACAAGAGTTCATGTTTCAGCTTGTGATAGATTCTTGCCACCATTCTTCTTGTGCCATTAAATTCCAAAACATATACCAGTCAGTTTTCATGCTATCAATGAGCAGATGAATCATATGCATTGCTTCTAACCTAAAACCTGTTCATTGTTGCAAACAGACATTGTGCAAGACATAGGTTGGCAGTGGCTGCTGTTAAGTGGGGTGGAATTTAAACCTCCCTGGTTTAAAAGTTTTAAACTAGTTTCTCAGCATCGTCATGCATTAGTCTTTGTACATCTCTTTCAAGAACTTTCAAGGCGAATGGGATGAAATGGTAGAGATGGGAGAGACAAAGGGCAATGTTTCCATACACCTCCCTGGTTCATCATGCATTAGTCCTTGTACATCTCTTTCAAGAACTTTCAAGGCCACTACAGGAATTGACTGTGTGCACTAATGGTTGGAGGTCAGCAGTTAAGAGAACTTTGGAAGCCTAAGCAGAATGTCTTGAAGGAACATATTTTGATGTGGGGGAGGGAGGATAGTCCTCTTCTAAACTTCCTAACATTGCATGAAAAGTAATAAAAGTTTGGTTTTTCCATCCTGGGGCTCCCAAGGGCTTTAACAAGGCAAAAGGGAACCTTGCAGTCTAAAATAGAGAGACAGGAAATTTTTAATGAGTGTAAGCTAAACGTTTCTACTGCTCGATCCAAGTTGAACTAGGTGAAAATTTACACAAGGTGATTTTGCCCGGTGTGTAGCAGTTGCATGTTTTGGAAGGGTGAAATACAACATGCAGTCTTACACTTGTTCATGCTGCTGAAGACAAAGAAGATATCTACTGCCTTATTAGGAAACCAGACTTTTTGAGCTTACTGATAATACCCATCTGAGAAGGAGCACTTCTGCAGTACATTAAAAAGATTGTTTTAAACAAAGCCATTTAGGCAGTTATGGATAGCTGGTGAATTAGTTCCTGCTTGTGAAAATGTAGTTCTTCTCCAGAAACCTTATTTGCTTCTATTAGCAACTCTGCCACTGACTGCTTTAGGAACTACAATTAAGCTGACCTTTTTCCACATTAACCGTGGATTTGTTTTTATTATTATGTCTCTATTGAACAATGCCGTTCATATACCCTTTGTTGACCTTTAAAGTTATAATTTCAGTTTCTCGCTTTGGATTTTCTTTTGAAGACTCATCTTTGGATTTGCTTTATCTGAAGACTCATCTTGGCTTATTTGTGTTCTCTTATTAGGATAAGAAGTCTTATTTGGATGTAATTCACACCTACACTGAAGTCCATGGAACTGTCCATGGGACAAGTGCTATCTACATGCCCAGCTATGTGAAGAACCATGGGATCCTTAGTGGACGGGATTTACAGTTTCTGCTAAGAGGGACAAAGGTTGGTTAGCTGGTAATTTTTTAAAAAAATAACAATTGTTTACAATTAAGTCTGCCTGTTACATTAAAATAATTTTTCTGAATTCTTTTAAAGTATAGCATTTGGCATGTTATACTCATGGGTACCATAGGTAAAGGTAAAGCTTCCCCTTGACAATTTTTGTCCAGTCGTGTTCGACTCTAGGGGGTGGTGCTCATCCCTGTTTCCAAGTCATAGAGCCAGCGTTTTGTCCGAAGACAATCTTCCGTGGTCACATTGCCAGTGCGACTTAGACACGGAACGCTGTTACCTTCCCACCGAGGTGGTCCCTATTGATCTACTTGCATTTGCATGCTTTCGAACCGCTAGGTTGGCGGGAGCTGGGACAAAGCGATGGGAGCTCACTCTGTCGCGTGGATTCGATCTTACGACTGCTGGTCTTCTGACCCTGCAGCACAGGCTTCTGTGGTTTAGCCCGCAGCGCCACCACGTCCCTGGGTACCATAACAGTCCCTATTTACTTGCACAGTAATATCTGGTGTTCTAAAGTTTCCATTTGTTTTTGCTGATGTCTGTGTTTAAAGATTATGCAATCCTGTATGCATTTACTTCAGGATAAGTTCCACTGAGCCCAGTTTTCTTTTGTGTAGGTGAGCATGTAGTTCCACTATAGATTTCTAAAGAAAGCTAACTTTTTCTTTCCAATGTTGGCCCATATCCTCTTGCCTACTTATGCTGGCATAACACAAAAAGTGTATCTTTTTTAGATGACTTGTCTAAAGTTAAGTCATCACCGTGGATATTCTCTGAATACCAAGTTGTGTGATTCAGTGTTCATTTGATAATATTAATGGCTGATTTTTTAACTTGGTGCAGTTTGCCCCCAAAAGGTATGCCATTCACATAGCTGTGGAAGAGGTTTATGGCCACCATTTCTCTGAAATATTCTGAGGTCTATGATCTAAACTGGTTTAGGGAGAGTCCACCGTATTTACATGCCTCTTCAAATCACACAGGCTAAGCAAAAGTATTTCTCTTCTACTGTGCTGTTGCTCTGTGCCATTAAATTGGAATCAACTTACAGTGATTAGACATGGGCACTTTGTATCCAGGGGATACAAATACAAAGCACAGCATCACAGGTGCCACAGTGGTCCATTCCTGCCCTCCAGAACCCTCCTGATCCACTCAGTGGTCTCCGTGCAGTGGGCACATCCGTCAGCATCATTGTCACACCGATTGTGGAAGTAGTCCAGCCAGTGTTTCCTCATCTCTTCCCCACAACTGACCACTCCAGCAAAGAGGCGGGAAGATGAGCCTCCCTGCTCAGCTGCTGAGTGGCGGGCTGAGGGGAGAGGCAGGGAAGTGCCAACCAGACTACGCCCACGATTGGCGTGACAATCTGATGGAGGCGCACACCACACAGAGCCCAGTGAGTGGACCGGGCTGGTTCTGGGGGGAGGAATGGACCACTGTGGCACCTGTGATGCTGCGCTTCACGTTCATATCCCCTGGATACGAATACGAACTGCCCATGTCTAATCACTGTAAGTTGGTTCCAGTTTAATGGCACAGAACAACAACATAGTAGAAGAGAACTTTTGTTGAGTGTTTGTGATTTGAAGAGGCATGTAAATTAGGTGGAGCCCCTGGATACAAATATGAAGCACGGGGATCTTAATAGGGCTTTCAAGGTAAGTGAAGCTTTCGAGGAGTCGCTTTAGCATTTCCACACCCCCAGTGAGTTTCCATGGCTGAGTGGGGATTCGAACCCAGGCCCCCTAAGTTCTAGTCCACCACTCTTATCCATTAAACCACACTGGGTATCCCATTGTGCCATACACAGAACAAATTCAGGTAATAGCTATGCTTCTTTCTTATAAAAGAAAGAAACAAGCAAATACTGCATTCACATGAAGAAGAGATAACATTTGAAAGCAATGTTGTATATTCCAAAAATATTTTGGAAATTCTATAACCCCCAGAGTATGAGTTTTCCTAATACTAATATGAATATTATAAACATACAGTTTAGCAGATAATTTTACTAATTTCTGTAATTCAAGCCTTCAAGTAGACTTGAAAGTGTATGCTTGCTTTAAACATTTTAATGGAAGCTTTTCCTTTTAAGATGAAGCAAAATTTTAATCTGGCACCCGATTCTTGATGGTTTTCACACGTGAATAATGTCGCCTCTATGAAGGTAGCATTTTCAGTCCCAGTAGTTATTTAAAGTGAATGCAGTGGACAGTTGTTGCTGCATTTATTATTAAGTGGTAACAGAAATCTGTGTGCTATCAAGAGGTCAAGGCTCCAGTCTCTTCCCTCAGGAGCATTTGGAAAATATGTTGACAGCATAGAAGAGAGAAAATGTTCAGGCAGTACTGAGGTAAAAACTGAAGTATCCAACAAGCATCTTTTTCTGTAACTAATTCAAACCAGGCCGCTACTGAATTGCTAGTGACATCTTAAATCCTTTAATTAACGGTTCCGCCCTGTTTCTGTTGAATCTAATTAAAGTACATAATTTAATTGCTTATCACTCTGTGTCAGGGTTTTTGTTATTTGCTAGGAGGGAATTGAAAAATGGATCATCTTCTTCTTCTTGAAAGTCAAATTCCTTAACACTACTTTTTTTTAAAAAAAAAATTAGGAATGTGGTCAAATCTAATACACCTATCTGCTATCAGGTTTTCGTTTTCCTTCTTCCCATCTTTCAGACTTTCTCTTAACTTAAAGAAACTTGGTTTATACAGCTTACAACACCTTGCAGTCAGATGGTGCTTTGCCTCATTACTATATTGAAGGTACATATTCCTAATCTACACCAAACATCCTTGTGCTCAGAGATCCTAAGTCATGCCCCTGCATGTCTGTTGGAGGTCTTCCGAGCAGGAATGTTGGTAGGTCTTGGGAACCGAGTCTCAAGTCCAAGTCTTAGTTTTTGGTACCAAGCCCCAAGTCTAAGTTGCAAGTTGCTTGCCCCCCCCCGGGAGGCTTGGGACTCAGGACTTGGAACCAAAGACTTGGGAGTCCCACTGCCTGCCCCCCACTGCCATTAGCCTGCTGCTTCCGCCTCCCCTGACACATGTGCTGACTAGCTAATAGGACAGGACAGGCAGCCCTCTGAAGCAGAAGGAAGGCAGAGGGCCTTTCATAGTGACACTCTAGCCTGCTGTACTCTGAGGGCAGGTGCTCCGACCCACCTCTTCCTATGATTCACCCTGGTGAAGCTGTATGGCAGGCTAGAGCGTCACCATGAAAGGCCCTCTCATGTGTGATGCCTTTGCAGATGGCGGTGATGGCAGCAGCAGGTAGGCCGGTGGAGGCAGGGGGGGCATAGGGACTTGACAGTGCAACTCAGACAAATGGACCCAAGTTGCAAATCTAGTCACAAGTCACCCCAGAATCCCTGAAGTTGAGTCCCAAGTCAAGTCATGGGTGCAACTTAAGTCCAACTCAGTGGTGAGCAGAGAGTTGTGAGTCGTCATCCCTGCTTCCAAGTGAATAACATGAAACAATCTTTGCCAGCAGTAGATGTGGGACTTAAGCTTGCCCTTTCTATAATGGTAGGGATGATTGTATGAAGTCTGGATCAGGGTTTACACTCAGATTGTGGCTTCAGACGATCATATCCCACAAAAGTTCCAAACTCGTCTGGAGACTTTCTAAGATGCCACAGATTTCTGTGCTTACAACTGTGATAGCTGCAAAGACATCTCAGGAGTGCCTTTCTGATAAATTACTTGGACCATCACATGGTTAACTGGGCAGTGCTCAGTTTGGCTGGTCAGTTAATAGTGAAACTTCTACTTTTCATATATTATAGGAAGCAACAAAAAAGGAAATGCTGAGTGTGACAGGGGACAATACAAAGCTAGGAATAAGTTGTAAATCACCCATGTTCCCCTGTCATCTCACAAGGAATATGAAAACAATATCTAAGAATAGCCTTATCCAAGTTGCAAGTCTAGTCACAAGTCACCCCAGAATCCCTGAAGTTGAGTCCCAAGTCAAGTCATGGGTGCAACTTAAGTCCAACTCAGTGGTGAGCAGAGAGTTGTGAGTCGTCATCCCTGCTTCCAAGTGAATAACATGAAACAATCTTTGCCAGCAGTAGATGTGGGACTAAAGCTTGCCCTTTCTATAATGGTAGGGATGATTGTATGAAGTCTGGATCAGGGTTTACACTCAGATTGTGGCTTCAGACGATCATATCCCACAAAAGTTCCAAACTCGTCTGGAGACTTTCTAAGATGCCACAGATTTCTGTGCTTACAACTGTGATAGCTGCAAAGACATCTCAGGAGTGCCTTTCTGATAAATTACTTGGACCATCACATGGTTAACTGGGCAGTGCTCAGTTTGGCTGGTCAGTTAATAGTGAAACTTCTACTTTTCATATATTATAGGAAGCAACAAAAAAGGAAATGCTGAGTGTGACAGGGGACAATACAAAGCTAGGAATAAGTTGTAAATCACCCATGTTCCCCTGTCATCTCACAAGGAATATGAAAACAATGTCTAAGAATAGCCTTTTTCGTTCACTTTTCCACTTAACTTTGGTTTAAATGGAGTCACACACATGCCATTACTGTATTCTTTGCTGCCATCTGCTGTTGATAGTTGGAAGATCTGCCCAACATTGTTACTCTTGCCAACTACCCTGCAAGAGAGAGCTTTAACCATTTCAGATGTAAGCAGGGGTTCCTTACTAGATTGTCACTTCTGAAAAAGACTGGGTCTCCAATGCATTACTGTGAACTACACCACCTTGATTGGCAGGTCATACACCATGGGATATTTACATATAGGCCTTGGAAGGAAATGTAAGCTGCATTTAAAACTTGGTGTCAGTTGTAAATTGTGTGTGGTCATCGTCTTACAATAGGATGGGGGAATAATCACATACTTGAATGGTTTAGGCTCTACAAGTTCCATTTCAAGTGCTCTGGTGTGTGGTTCAAGTAAAGCTGTCTAGAGAGGAGCGTGCTAGCCATTCGCCCCGTTTACCATCACATCTCATGTGTAGAAAGAGATGGTCTAAAGAGGAAAGGTTTCTCTGTCGCTTGGAGGCTTTCCATATGATTGGGACCTCTGTAACCTCATGTGGAGAGTAATGACTGCGAGATGGGGCCAGCACACTCCCAATTCTCATATGAGGGCTGAAATCTTGTTGTGCAGCTCCATAGGAGTTACATCAGCAGTGTCAGCAAATTGCAGCTGATTAAAGGTTTGCTTTGCTGATTTCAGGATGCACATGAATGACTTTATCACATTGTGTAAAAGTCATGTTCAGCCAAAAACTGCCTTTAATCAGCAGGGATCTGCTGCTGCTACTGAGGATGATGATAACTTCATCCCTGTTGTGCATGTAGAGCTGTGTGACAGGATTTCAGCCATTGACTTCATACAGTGTGTCAGTAGGCCTTAAGTGTCATGTGGGTTTCAAGTGTCTGGGGCTAATGCCTGAGTCCTTCATTCTTGACACATATTTGTATCTCACAGCTCTTTGTTGGCCTTGGTTTTCCATATGAGGGACCTGCTCCTCTGGAGGCCATTGCTAATGGATGTGCATTCCTGAATCCAAAGTTTAATCCACCCAAAAGCAGCAAAAATACAGACTTCTTCAAAGGCAAGCCAACCCTCCGAGAGGTATGTAGTCACCACCCATGTTTATAGTTCCTCTTGGTGCCTTTTTTTTTAATTGGACATATTTGTTTGATATATGAACAGTACATCATTTTCCAAGCAGCATACCAGAGATTAATTAGTTGGGAGATAATGATGTAGGATTTGGAGGAGGCTTGAGATTATTGTCTTGGTGAATACTCCGCAGCATCTTTTGGGTGAAGAGAACTTCCCTACTCCTTTAGGTCCATAGGACTTGGTTGGAAGGAACAGGTCTTCTTTAGAAGTCTCATCTATACAAAATTACAGAGTAGCTTTCCCCACACTGGTGCCTTCTGGATTTTTTGGACTACAGTTTCATGATATTGCACCATTGGCCATGTTAGGTGAAGTTGTTCAGCACTGTACTCCAAAATATATGGAGGTTTCAGATTGGGGCAGGCTCTCTTGTAGATTAATCAGGTAAACACAGTCTTCCATGTGATGAACTGTGAAAGGTTATGGCCAGAAGGGAATATAACCATCAGAATAAGGCAGGAGCACTCATTGAAAAGCCTAAGGAAAACAGAATATTAGTCCTTCAGTTTGATGGTGGTACTTGGAGGTACTTCATTGAATTGTCCAATCAGTGCAATGTTTGAAGATCTCACTTGTGTATAGTTAGTAAAACTCTTGCCCTTTTAAACCCAATGACCCCTTCTTCTCTCTACTTGCTTGGGTCCAGTTGCGATAAGGCTTCTTTTTTTATGTCAAGGGGCTCGTACATTCTGCATCTTCATGTATGGTTAAGAAACTTAAATATTTTCCAGCTTTCAACAAGTGAATAAATACAGCACCATTTACACTGCTTTGCTAGATTTCTTTATTTGTTAATAGCAGCTTGTCCCAAGTCCTGGTCCCTGTTAGATCACATAAGCCTTTACTCAGTTTTTTCATTTGCTTGAATATTCACCAGGAGAAAGGTGGCATAGAAATGAAACAAACAAGATGAATACAGTGGTGCCTCGCATAGCGATTGCTTTGTATAATGATGAAATCGCTTTGCGATGAAGATTTTGCTATTGCTTTTGCGATCGCTTTGCGATGTTCCCTGTGGGGGAATTTCGCTTTACGATGATCGGTTCCCTGCTTGGGGAACCGATCATGGCAAAACAATGCTTTTTAAACAGCTGATCGGCGCTGCACTACCCCCCAGAGCTCCTGCATAAATAGGGGACAGCGGGAGGGGGGAGTGGGAGCGCTCCAGGTTGGCGCCTCAGGAGGAGGGAGGGAAGGAGGGGCGAAGGGCCTGGCCCCGATCCCCGCGCGTACCCCTGGGGCACCGAGCCAGAGAGCCCTCGTGGCGGGAGGCACTGCAAAGGAGTAGGCATCCGCCCAGGACCGGGATCAGGGCAGCAGTGGCAGGATGGGGGGCGGAGCACCAGAGAACCCCCTCCTCACCCTGTCTGCGCTCCCTCTCCCTCACTCTCGCCTGGCCATGGCGTCCGGGGTTGGCTGGCTGGCTGGCTGTGAGTGGTGCGCTCCTTCCCGGCTGCCTGCCTCCAAGCCCTCGCTGGTTAGAGACAGCCGCGCTCCCTCCCCCTCGCTCTCGCCCAGCCATGGAGACCGGGCATCTGGGGTTGGCTGGCTGGCTGGTGGTACCCCACTTTACAGTAGGCTCCCCTTGCCCCTTCCTGGCTGCCTGCCTCCGAGCCCTCGCTGGCTGGAGAAGGCCGCTCTCCCTCCCCCTCGCTCTCACCTGGCCATGGAGACCGGGCATGCGGGGTTGGCTGGCTGGCTGGCGGTGAATGGCGCACCCCTTCCTGGCTGCCTGCCTCTGAGCCCTCGCTGGCTGGAGACAGCCGCACTCCCTGACCCTTGCTCTCGCCCCGCCATGGAGACCGGGCATCCGGGGCTGGCTGGCTGGCAGTGCTTTGCCATGATCGGTTCCCTGCTTGGGGAACCAATCATCGCAAAGCAATGCTTTTTTTAACCCGCTGTTTTCTGGGACGGATTCCTCGCTTACCGAGGCGGCAAAAATGGCAGCCCTATGGAGGATTTCTGCTTAGCGGTGAGTTTATCCCCCATAGGGGTTTTTATTTCTGTATAGCGACGTTTCCGTATAGCGACGATTTATCCAGAATGGATTATTGTCGCTATGCGGGGCACCACTGTATTTATAACATAGCAAAGCTGATGCCACCTGAATTCTGCATACTGACTTCAGTAAACAAGTGCAAACAAATGTCTAGATATTACAGTGTTTTTTTCTCATAATAAATAAGTTTGTTATTATATCAGTGTACTGAAGCATATTTACTTAGTTGGTCTGGTTCCTGGAAAAAGTAATCAAATAGGCCATTAACTTCATAAAGGACAGGTACAACATGAAATTCAATTTTAATTGCGGGCTGCTGGTAACAAAACAAAATAAAGTAATTATCATTTTCAGAAACCACATGAACAATACATTTGTTAGCAATGCTTGTAAGTGGTACTGTGATCCTGGTAAGACAGCATTAATAATGTGTTAAACAGTTGTTCTGTATGTCTGTCTAAAAACAAGATTTTACTTCCTCAATATAAAATCACTCTGTGATACTAGAGACCTATTTTACAGCCAATAAGTGTGTAATCCTGGTTTTCTCTTTCAAGGTAAAGTTCATACTCCCTGACAGTTGTTTGCCTCCATTGTTTCACACTTCAACTGATGGGGAATCTATAAAACACCAACGGATTTTTGTTTGGTTTTCCTAAACAGGATACTGTATGCAAAGCTTTTAATGGAAAAGAATAAAACTACTTTAAGTGGCTGAAATCATTGATCCATTGCAGACAGTATAAACCTGAGATTTCTTAATAAAAGTGAGAATGATGTCCACAACAATGATGTTTGATCTTTTTTTTTCAGCTGACTTCTCAGCACCCTTATGCTGAAGTTTACATTGGGAAGCCTCATGTTTGGACTGTCAACATCAACGATCTTTCTGAAGTTGAGAAGGCTGTGAAAGCAATTTTGAATCAAAAGGTTAAGAAATCCAAAATTGTCTGCTTTTGTAATTAGAGTATAAAGATGTTTCTTGATCAAACAGAAGCCTTAAATTAATGTTTTCTTTCTATTCAGTATTTTTGTTGTAATGTGATAACTCGCAATTAATGTCTTCATGATGATAATGTCTATTCTGACTTATGGCAACCTTTTCCTGGTTTTGATAGACAGAAAATACTTAGAAGTGGTTTACTATTCGTTTTTTCTACATGCATACACACATACATGCATGCATGCATGCATGCATGCATGCATACATACATACATACATACATACATACATACATACATACATACATACATACATACATACATACATACATACATACATACATGACAAAGTACAACTGCATCTCCAACAAGAAAGTTGACTTTCTGTATATGGAAAACTAGCAATTATTAAGGTAAAACACAATGGCCAAAATACAATTTGTCAAGGTGTAACATACTGTTATGCTGTTGTAAAGTTGCTGAGTATTTCACCCCAGCAACAAGGACTCCACAAGGCAACTACATAATTGGTCATGCGCTGACAGAAGCACTTGGTGGACAACACTTCTGCCTTGATCCATTTGTAGCTTCTGGGGCTGTAATGTCTAGTTGTCCCCTTGTAGCTACTCAGCCAGATTCCAGCCAGTGAGAATGTTTGTCTGGTTACAAAAAGCTTTCATGAAAAGCTTGAGACAGGAAATGCTATCGTACTGAATGTTGTTGAATGGTTTTATAGTTTACTTTTATGAAGGCAGAAATATACATAATAAATATACATCACGTTATTAAAGTGTGTGTTTACAAATGAGATTAATAAACACTATAATAACCAATAGGAGGGCCTGGCGTGCTGTGGTCCATGGGGTCACGAAGAGTCGGGCACGACTAAACGATGACGATAATAACCAGTACCTTGTTGGAACATGTCACACAACGGCATTTTTTGTTGATCTTTTTAAAAAATCTTTATATCATTTGATAGTTATGTTAGAATAGTACATACATACATACATACATACATACATACATACATACATACATACATACATACATACATACATACATACATACATACATACATACATACATACATACATACATACATACATACATACATATTTATTGAATGTCAACAGACCGTTTCAATATTACATAGCAAAACATATAAATATAAATTATAAAATGATAATAAACAAGTATAAGTGTGCATAAAAATTATCTTTAAAACAACTACTTAAAACAAACCCCATTGACACTCCAGGTAACCTCTTAGTGGTTATACCTAAGTAGCGAACCTCTTTAGTGGCATATCTCAACTAAACAGACCCTTTACTTATCGTATTAAAAATAAAAAACTAGAATGCCTATATTTTTCTTTTAACAGATTGAACCTTACCTGCCCTTTGAATTCACATGTGAAGGAATGCTCCAGCGGATGAACGTGTTCATTGAGAAACAAGTAGGTTTTTCATATCGTTTGCTCTCTGTGTGCACTCAGTAGATTTTTCTGGTGGAAGACACTCTTTTATAGCTGTTCGTTTTGCTTTTAACAACCAGAACTTGAGAGAGGTATTTGTAGCTGTGTAACAAATTCACAGTGTTCACAGTCCTTATCTTTTAAATAATACATTATTCTGATGGTCATCACTAATCAAACGTTAATATAGTAGCAGATTATAATTAAGATGCATCCAAATAGCTGAAGGAGCACCTCATTTTCTGGATGTGAGGATGTAGCTGGTTGCTGCTTGGTCTGAGCGTCATCAGATTGCCATTCATGAAAGTGACCTTTTGTTATGCTTTGTTGGGGCAAATGTGTGTTTCAGCATTTGGGGCTCAGATTTCACTTCTGTCCTCCACCTAGTTTCTTGCCCAATGGGTTTGTCTTGCCTTTGTCAGGCAAAAGATAAATATAGAAAACAAAAATGTTGTGGCACCTTGAAGACCAATTGCTGTATTTGAATGTGAGCTTTCATGGACAAACTGACCTTGACAGTTGACCTTCTAAGAAATGAGTATTGGAGCAGAAAACTATGGGTCAAAAAAAATGATTTTCAGCTTTAGAACCCAGGCCATGTACTTAAGTTCCTGGGCAAGTTATTTTTCTTTTAGCCTTGCCTGGCTATAAGATTTCTGGGAAAGCAGTGTTCCACCATTAGTTGCACTCTCCATAGTGGGTGGGCATGTCCCTCTCCATAGCATCTTTTCTCTGAAAGCACGAATCTGCCCACCCACCCAAGAAAGTTGGGGACCCCTGTTGTATGTCTTGTTTGCATCCAGATTAGATGTCAGTAATGCCTTCTGCACTGCCTGTCTTCGGGAACTGGTTCTGATCATCATCTAGTGCAAAATATTGCAGTTAAGAGTTTTGGCCGAGATCGTATTTTTTCAGCATGTAGCTATAGCATGGTTTAGTTTTCACCAGTTCCTGTTTTGCTTCCAAGTCCAATTCAAAGTCCTCATCACTACTCATCACTTTTGGGAACAAAATACTTAAAGGACTTTTTCCTTTGAGGAATGACTGGGGAATTGTGATTTATTGGCCAAAGTTCTGTTGCTTAGTGTAGTAAGTCACAAACAAAGTAGGCCCATTTGTGAGTTAACCCCTGTGTAGGTTCCAGTGATTCAATGGGCCTACTCTAGTTATAACCTACTATGCTTGGCAAGGGGATGTGAGCCGCAGCCTGCTTGAATTCTGTGCCAGGAGGTACAGTAGTCTCAAGTTCTGGATGGAAATCACTAGATAAGATGCCTGATGAGTCATAAAAAGTCCACTTTTTAAATTTTAGGATTATGTCTCAAAACAGTGCATGAAATATTGGTTTTATCCGTTTCCATTGCAGATCAGTCGTTTGGAAAAATGTATCAGTTTGTGAGGCTAATTACAAATCGAGAAATCAAAGTTTTTTGTAGAATTTGGAGAAGGGTTTCAGTGAAATAATATGAAAACAGCATTAGTTTCAAGCCTATTCCAGTGTGTGGTGAAACATGTGTTTGGTTACAGAGTCATAATGAAGATGTGTCACCACAGATGTCCACTAGCTGTATTCATTGTCTGATTTCATTGTAGTGACCCTAAGCAAATATTTTTGCAGGAAAAACAAGCTGAGTGGGGTATGGGGAATGGAAGAAATCAGCTAAGTATTCTCAACAGATTTCTGTTGACTGTGTCAGCCTGATAGAGGTATTTCAGCAGGATGGACTAAATTCAGCTTGTGCCTGTCATTAGAGAATTACAGGAGCATCATGGGTGTCCTTCTTTGCTAGTTATCATTCATGTATTGTAATATCCTTGGGTGGTGAAGCAAAACAGATAGATGGTTGAGGGCTAGGCAATGTTCTGTCTGCCTAATACTACATTTCTCCTCTAGTTTACAGTAGAAGGGCTTGTGCATGGCAGTGCATTGTGTTGGGTTTATCTGGAACTTCGAAGTTTACATGCCTGTGCCTGGATCTGGTCCTGGTCCTGAAATACAATGGATATACCCAGTCACTGGCCAGAACCCTACTGGTTTTTGCATAAGATCTGCCCCTATTTGCAATGGCTAATTGCAGCTAACTGAAAAGGTGACAAGCCATGTCTTGGTTGTGTGCCTGGTTATGCACATAATGCACCCCAATATGCATCCCAGCACCTCATCAGTTTGTGGCAATTAGCCGTGTGAATATCAGTACGGTTCCAGTCACCATCTTTCAGTCTAACCTTCATCACTTTGTCTATAAAAGAAAGATCAACTTTTGGACCTGTCAATGTAATGGAATTCCTGCATGCTTTTATTTAGACAGAAAAAAACATGCAGATTTGGCAGAGTTCTTGGTTGTGAAAGTCTTGCAATTGTGACTGGATTGGCTACAGATTATTTAATTGAAGAATATGAAGTAAGCTAAACATACTAAATTATTTAATTGCAAGTATTACATGTAACTGTATGAAATACACGATTATTCTTTCAGGACTTTTGTCATGGGCAAGTGATGTGGCCTCCATTAAGTGCCCTTCAGGTTAAAATTGCTGGGAGTGGAAAGTCTTGTAAGCAGGTTTGTCAAGAAAATCAGCTTATCTGTGAGCCGTCCTTTTTTCAGCACCTGAACAAGGACAGAGATCTCTTGAAGTAAGTATTGTGCCTCATTGGAGAAGAAAACCAAGGTGGCATTCTGATTATATTTTGAGTGTTATCCTAAAATATTGTTTTGATCTAAACTCATAGCAGCAGATCAGAAGCTGAAGCTCGTCAGAATCTTGAGGGACAGATACTTTGTGGCCCTGGAGTCATAGTGTGTTGGTGTGCATATTAAATATATCTATATAAGCATGGAGATAGAGGGAACATAATTGGATTTACGTTACACGTGCTAAAAACATAGCTAAATCAGCTTGGTTTTCTGACATCCTATAATAATTGGCAACTCTCAGATCTTCATATCAGTTACCTTTCCCTAGAGTGGTTTGCCCCACGTTAGAAAAGGAAGCTCTGTATCTTCTATATATTTTCTTATGTGAAAATACTAGACATCTGCATTTGTTGGGAACTGACTGCTAAATCAGAGTTTGCTGATATGTATGCCCATAATAGAAGAGTCACCTGAGAGAATTGTTGTATAGTATCATTCTGTTTAGTGAAGTAAGCTGTGGAGTGAAGGAGGTAGTTGCAGGGTAGCCTTCCATCACAGCCACTCCTGAACATTATTACTGCCTTTTTTAATTATAGGAACATTGCTAGGATTAATAAGGCACACATTTGTCTTGGTAGAGCTTTGCCACTGGTTTTTACTTCAGTAATGGTCACCATGGCTACACACTCCCAAGACATGTAGATTCTCATAACCTTTTTCTGCCCAGTTGTTTCTGCATGTGTTAGATTTTTGGAAAGAATGTGAATGGATGAGCTTTCCTATATACTGAGGAGGGTGATTGCTGCTTTCCAGAACATTGGTCCTACAACCGTAACAAAGAACCAAAGAGTGCCTTGTTTTAGAACAGCCATGTGACATTCATTCCTGAATTCCTAGCTAGCCAAAGTCAGTACCATCTCAAAGCAAAAGTAATTCTGATTGAAGAATACGTTGTTTATCAGAACTCCCAATTATATTCTGAATGGCCTCATCCCCTCGGAATAAGAGGTTGTATTCTCTTTTAATGCCCCCTTTATATATATATATATATAACTCAAGTTATATATATAACTCAAGATAAGAGAGGGAGAGAGAGAGAGAGAGAGAGAGAGAGAGAGAGAGAGAGAGAGAATCATAGGACTGGAAGGGACTTGAGTTATCTAGTCCAGCTTCCTGCCAGTGTAAGGAAGTCCCCACTGAAGCATCCTGAGGATGACTGTCCAACCTGTTGGGGGGGGGGAACTCAGTGGAATTCACCACTCTCTTAGACAGTCTTTCCTAGTGTCAAATGCATTTTACTGTTAGATTCTGTTGAAATCTCCTTTCTTATATCTTGAATCCAAATAACAGCCAGTCAAATAACTGAAGATGGTTGTCAAATCATCTCTCTGTGTCTTTTCTTCATGCTAAACATGTGATATTCTGTCAACCTTTATCATGAACAGTAAAGGTGTGATTTTTAACACAGTTAGTTTGGAAACTGTTTAGGGGATAGATTCTGATTGCCGATCAGTGAATTTTATGTATGTATCAAATGAGAAGTTAAACATGGCTTGGCTTTGATAATTGCATAAGGATGAAAATGGGTTCTCCGTGTGGTAAAGGAGAATGGCACCTCTAGATACCACCCATGTTGCTTGCTGAATTAATAACATAAATGGCCAAATTATGTGAGTATTTTGTATTTTTCCCCCCTCAGATACAACATTGAATGTCATACAGTTGAGTCTGCAAATGACATCTTGGTTCCATCTTTTGATGAAAGGAGAAAGCACTGTGTTTTCCAAGGTGATCTCTTGTTGTTCAGCTGTGCAGGATCTCATCCAAACCACAAAAGAATCTGCCCCTGTAGAGACTACCTTAAAGGACAAGTTGCACTTTGTAAAGACTGTCTATAGCAGCGACTCAGTGATGTCATGAAGAGACAAAAGACCAAGTGGCTCAGAGACAGCTGCTGCCACTAAATTTTTTTTTGCACTTGGCTTCTGGCAGGCCAAACAATTGCTGAAAAGCAGAAATCTGTACCAAGAAGAGGGCAGATAGGCAGAGACAAAGACATCTAAAAAAAACTCTAAAGTTTTCCTTAAGTCAGCAACTGCAGTGAAGTTCAGATAAATCTCTTTATGTACTTAAGGAGGTGGCAAATGAAGTTTGGTGCTTTGTAAGAGGTAAAACAAGAGCTTGGGATTACCTTGGATTTCTTTTCCCAGTAGTTCCTCACAATAAGCAGTTCCTCTGAATATTATTTCCAGGGCAAAACAAAACAAAAAAACAGATAAATAAATCCGTTTGAAAGAAAGTGGACAACGTGGGAAAAATGAATACATATCCAAAGTACAGTTTTTAGCGTTGCTGTAAACTCTGAATAGCTGGTGCTGTTCCTGCAAATTTGGAACCACAAGGTAATGCAGCTACTGAACATCTAAACCTTGTCCATTGGTTACTCTCTTACCTGTCACATGTTGTGATTATATTGTCCAGAGTCTCAAGATAGCTGAGCAAGTAGCATCATGAACTTGGGGGAGTTGGTGGCTCTCAGAGTGATGAGTCCTTATGGTTTTGTCAAAGTTTCAGTAGCCACATAAAATACCATGTCTGGAATTATGACATCCAAAGTTCATAATTCTTTCCTACTCGCCTCATGTTTTGTTTATAGAGTGATGATTAGAACTAACCATGTGATCACGGAAAGCAGAGTGGCCTCATTGGAGCAATATTTTCCTGAATTTGCTATGAATTACCGAAATGGGGACTTAAAGATGAGCACAGGGAACAGGCTGTCATGAAATAATGTGTAGTATAAGAGTAGCCTGTCTTGATAATCTTGTGGAGATTTAAAGTGCTATTATGAGACACCAAAAATAATTGCTACAAATGAGTGAGAACTCTTTTCTGTCTTTATAGCTAACAAAAGAAGTGGGTGTGTGGAAGCAGATCAGTTTTGTTAAATTCCAGTTAGTTCAGATCGTTAAAACTCTGGTTTTGCTTACAGACAGTATAAAAGCTCTTCCTTTTAAAAAAAAAAAGGTACAATATCTTGTATTAAAAAACACATTTTTGCAGTAGAGCCGACAGATTTTTAAATTCACTCTTTGTGGATGGCCAAAAAAAAAAAAAGGCTATTGGGCAGGGGTGGGGGAGAGAAAACAGCCCTCCATGATCTTGCAGCTAGGCCTGAAAGTCATGACCAGTTTGAGGAGGGCATGGCTTGGACCATTTTCAGTTTTGTGTCTAAGTATGATGTTTTTATTTTCTTATTCTGCTATCATTGACTTACTGTTTCTACTGATGTGATACATGTAATCCTCATTTGTTGCGACTTAATGCAGTCTTTGGTATCTGATTTTATATGATGACTACTAGCACATCTTTTGACATGCCAAAGACTACAAGAGAAAAGACATTCTTGAACACATTGTTGGTTTACGATTCAAAATTTAAAAGAATAGGGACCAGGATTCAGTCATGTCATTCTGTCGATGCAAACCATGTTGCCTCTGATTCCAGACTGTGTGCTGAGGATGGGGAAACTAAGTCCGGTGCTGTTTGCAGCAATATATAAATGGTTGATGAGGTCATGACTGAGCAGTCACAGAAGCAGGTTATAAGACCAATCATGGTGTCACTCGTGGAACTCCAGTTTTCTTTCTCAATCATTACGTTGGGTTTTAGGCCATTTGTTTCAATTGTATTTAAATCCATTTGGCCAGATAGCTCAGTGGGTGGCAGCACCTGGAGATCAGAGGCAGGAATTCAGTTTCAGAGGCAGGAATTCTTTTTTTTTTTTAACATTTTATTCATATCTAAACATACAAACTTAAAAACATGGATAATTAACAAAACAAACAGACAAAAAACTTAGCTAAGCATCCATCCTTCCCCTGTGGATCAGAGGTTTCACCATCGTTTGGTCATCGGAATATCTTCAAGGGGATTCTGGCGAGCACTGGTTCGCTATAGACTAATTCCCCCCCACACAAGTTCCTGTCTTTTTCTGGGCCCAATTATATATCAGCTTCCAGCTTTGCTTTACAGAGTCCTTTGGATGATCCCGTAGTGCCTCTGAAAGCATGTCTAGTTCTGCAATATCCAATAGCTTCTTTAATAACTCATCCATCGTTGGCATCTCTACATTCTTCCATTTTTGGGCCCAGAGTAACCTAGCTGCTGTGAGTATATACAGTAGACTATATTTCTTTGTCAATAATTTCTGGCATTATTTTCAATAATAACATTTCAGGTTTAAAACTTAATTTTTGTTGAACAATCTCCTTTACCATTTCCCAAAACCTGTATCCAAAATTTGCTTTTCCACATGACCACCGCGTATGATAATAACCCCCTGGATTTTATTTTATTTTTTACACTTCTTTCGAACATTACTGTTACCTTCTGGCATTTTTGCCAATCTTACGGGGGTAAAATGCCATCTATGAAACATTTTAAGGATGTTTTCTGTAAGATTCACTGGCTTGATCATCTTATGATTCTCTTTCCACATCCTTGTCCATTCATCAATATAAATATTGTACCCCAAATTCTGTGTCCATTTTACTATTGCAGAGGCAGGAATTCCGAGGGAGACCCTTCCCTGTGTCTCCCTTGGGCAAGCTGTGGAGTCCCAGAGCGTCACCAAAAGGAAAAACTGGTGAACCACTTCTGAGCACTTTGTGTCTAGAAAACTGGGGGACAGATCACCTTACATCAGAGTGGTCTTGCTGGCTATTAAATTATTGATTGGTTGTTTGTTTTGGTTGAAATATATGTGAGGGGCTCCTATTTTTATTAAAAGACACAGTGGCAGACCTGGATAAAAATCTAGACAATAACAGTTTCGTAAATAATTATTTTGTTTGTAGGCATATCTTCAGAATTGTTTGTCAGTACTGACGATAAACATTCTGCAAAATAAAATAAGTTATGTTTTGTAAAAGGAAAAGCTATATCAAGATTGAAACATTGTTTTTATTATTTTTTTTATTTTGTTGTGCATGGAGCTGAAAATGAGCAATAGCTAGGTTCAGACTTATATTAGGATTTATTTAGTAGGCTTTCAGAATGAAAAGGCTAATTCATGTTTTAGATTTATGCAATATTTAACACTTGGAATCTAGGCTTGTGTAGATAGGGATATGAAGTAATTTTGCCCTTACAGGTATATGAGAGTACAGTATGAGTGCAACAGGCATCATCCTACTTTTTAAAAAGTTACCGTTCTTATATCTTCTGCACACATCTAGGTGGCTGACAGTTATTTGGCCCTAGATGTGTACTTAATGAGAACAGGATATCACCAAGCTAAAGCTTGCAATAAGAAAAACACTTCCAGTTAGAAGCAAAATGATTTCAAAATATCTGTGCTGTAAATACAACTTTGTTAATGTATTCAGATTATTTTGCCTTTAGAACTGAGGGTCTGATTCTAATCTAATGTTTTTCCTCCACGAAAGACAAAGCAGTAAGTAGAAAGTCCAGATATGTTTTGCAGGAAAGACTGAGTGAGAGAGATTAGGAATCTGATCTTTTGCTTCAGGATTTTTCCTTTAACACTAAAATGGATTCTATGTCCCAATGCTTCATGGAGGGGAACATTACATGAGAAGAAGCCCACGGGGAACATAGGTTTTGGCTAGTTTGTCAATGCAGTCAATCATATCAGTCCTTCAGCAGGGGTAGATCTTCTAATCACTAGTGTAGTGAATTGATGTTTGTTGGTAGAAGAGAAGAGCTCTTTAGTTGCAGTGTAAGAAAAATGAGTGGCTGAAAGGAGAAGGGCAGCATGGATAAAGTTCCTATGTTTCTAAAGGAATTATTTGGTATCACTGAGAATGCGATCACACCTTTGATAGACATAGTCATTTCATTGTTTCCTTTTTGCAGCAATTATAACAGTCGTACACTGCTAATCATGAAGGGGAAATCTGTTTGTGTATCTGTCATCCTGTAGCAAATCTTATAACAGTCTTACACTGCTAATCATGAAAGGGAAATATGTTTGTGTATCTGTCATCCTGTAGCAAATACAGCATTTGTTTACTATGAAGACTTGAAAGTAGAGAGAATCTGAAGTTTCATTTAGCACAGTTAGTAAACCTGGCATGTTCTTCTGCAAGGCACTTGTATTCAGTAGCATTAGAAGATGAGTCTTGTACCATTTAGCTATTTGTCCTGTAAGCTGGCACATGACTATTAAGGATAAATTAATTTGTTTCCAAGGCATCCATTCCTTAAAACTATACATACTCATATACACACATTTGAGGAAATGCCTTCCTTGACTAACTTGGATGACTTTCCTTGAAGACACCAGTGCAGACACCAGATTCTTCAGTACTTTCAGGAGAGTCAGAAGGACAAGTAAAACTGCAAATATTTTTATCACACAAAATTCTAATACCAGATCAATGAAAAATACTAACAAGTCTTCATATATTTAAAAAAATCCCTCTTTATTTTACAAGCTTATATACATTTTTAAACTGATATTTTTTAAAATTGTCTGTGAGATTACCAAAAGTTGAGAGAAGCATTTACATAATTTATTTTTAAATTTTTTAACATTAAAGACTTGCCTTTGAAAGATAAAGATTGAATACACTGTTTAGAAATGCCAATAAAAACCTCATTTCTTTCATATATGCAAGTTGATTTGCACATATAAATAAGTAGGCTTTTAATATAGTTTGAATAGGTTGTCTCCTTTGTCGTTCCTAGATGCAGTTGTCATTAGGAAGAGTATTTGGGGATTTTGCATGGCAATGTAAAAACATGTTCTGCTAATATGTGTGCCTTTAATTTTTATTTTAAATAATTGTATGTTTGGGATGTGGACACTGCCTGAACAACTATAATGGAACACTAATTTTTCAGGATTAATATACTTTGTGTAAATAAATTAATTTTAAAGAATATTTTCTATTGGGAAAAGACAAAGGTGTTGGAGCAAAAGATGTTATATAACCTGCAACAAGTCAACAGAATGCTGCCTATTGATATTGTACTTGAATGTTTTGTGTCTACACACAATGCACTTATGTATTATTTGTACTTAATAGTACATGCTCTTTTACAAAACGTTAATAGGTTTTGTGAATCAGCACATCTTTCAGAGTTATCTTGTCACAGACGTCAACACTTTTATCAGTTGTTTTCACCAATGCAGACGCACTGTTATTCCCTTGATGGATCATGAGAAACATGTCCTCTATGTATCAGTGGTCAGCATAAATGTCTTGGGAGGGAATTCTTTTGATGCAGTAAGAAAAAAATTGCCTGCTTTTCTCTTTGGTGAAATAATGAGTTTTAAATACTCCAGAAAAAGAAAGGAGCACTTGCAAGAGTACCTTCCCCTTCCTTCAGCTCTGTAAAACTGTTCACTAGCACCCAAAATGTGCCATTTCCCTGGTTCTGTAGCATTAAAATACATACTGTACATCTCACTGAAGTTCACACAGCAGCCTCTCACTCCAGTCTAATATCAGATCTATAAATAGTTCTGGGTGCTTCTTAATCTACTCCTATAACAAAGCTAATACTGGCAGCCAGAAAGGAATGTGTGTTAAGGAAGAAAAAAAAACTTGGAAATACTCCAGCACGAACTTTTGACATAAAAAAGAGTCACTAACAGTGCTTGCAGTGTTGAAAATATCTCTAAAATGACTAGGCATTCATGTCTTCCATACTGGGCTCCGTGGTAGTAATACTACAAGGCCGTGGGTACTTTTCCCAAACAAAAGAAAGAGCTTTTAAGCACAGGGCTACATTGTGTGGATTAGATGTTCTTAAACTGTAGTCCATTGTCAGTGGTCATCCCAGAATACTGCTGGGGTGGTCCACAGAAAGTTTGCAGGAGCAGTTGAGAATATCTGTATTTGGCCTTCGTCCCCACCCCAGTTGAGACAGATGTTGTTTTGATAAGAGCCAGATTATCACGATGATTCCAGCATCTTTGCCTAGAGCTGATGTTCAGTGGAACCTGCTGTTTGTGGTTCCCCAGCTAGTTTCAGGACTGTAATTCCCATCATCCCCTACTTATGGCAGTGCTGACTAAAGCTGATGAGAATTGCCCAGTCTTGCCTCTGATTTTCATAATATAGTGCTTATTTCGTGCTGGTGCT